ACCTGTATATAAGCCATCTGGATTGTACATATTTTTATTTTTATTTCTTATTTCTTTATCTCCTATTTTTATTTTGTTTTTCATTGTGTGTGATACATGTACACTTGCACCTTAATCCTTATTTATCTTGATATACTGTATATACCTGGATATACTGTATATATATTGTTTATTGTTTATTCTTAATGCACCTTTTTCCTCCTTGTTTGCACCTTCTTTGACTTCTATGCCAATATGTGACAAGTGATTTTCTCCGCTGTGAGATCAATAAAGCTCACCTAATCTAATCTAATCTAATCTAACCTACATTGTGATATTTTCTGCTAGTACTTCTCTCACTATATGCAGATTCCCATGATACATTACAATTCTAGGCCTTTGTAGGCAGTGAACTTACCCTAAAGAAAAGCAAAACCATGGCAAAGTTAAATAGAGTGAAGCAGCAAAACACTTTTTATTTTACCCCAAGCTAATATATTATTCAGTGTACCTGCCAAAACTTCTGAAAACCTGGACAAAAAGCACTGCAATGAGTTGGGCTTGGGTATTTGTGGAAACTGTTCCTAGATCCATCTCTCTGATAGATCTTATAATTCTTAAAGTGGCTGAAATCTGTGAGGTGTTAATAACTTTTTTCATCTGCGTTCTTCCCACACTGAAATAAAAGGTTTGAGTTCTCTAGTTTTGAAATGTGTTATTATTCTGCTGCAGTAAAAGATTAATTCATTGCAGCGGTGACTGCTGCTCTTTGAAACAGAGGAGGCTTAGTAAAGTAAATAAATCCAAATGTCACTTATTGCATTAACAAATGTTGAAACCGTAAAACACATCACTACAACTCTGTGAAAATAGCTGTTATGAAATAATAAACTCCAGAAACCATGGCAAGAGTTCAGCACAAGACGACTGTTCTGACTAAATGATAACTGTTCCTCTCGACTACTGAATAAGACCTTATCGTTTTCTGGCCACTGTCAGTCAAAAATCATTAAGTATGTTTGCCAATCAGCATCGAGCAGCCAGCTTCATGACCCATCCTGCTCCATAGACCCCCTAAGAGGTTTAGCCTCACTTGAAGTGACGTATTTTGGCGTTTTGTCCAATCAGGGCTCTACTTTCTCCCTGCTTACCTCAATAGATGGAGGCTCAAACCTTAATAGGGATTTCTCTTAGAGGCTGACAGGCAGCGTCCTGCTGCTCTAGAGCGGAGAGGAGATACGTATATTTAATGCAGTTTAATAACAACATTTATGGAGTTTTAAAATGCATATTTTACCAACAAGGAGGTTTAGCCTCCTTAGTATTCAATGAAAAATCGCCACTGATTTATAGTAAGTCTTTTTAACTCTCCATACCAGCGCTGCCAAAGTCACACATTGTTTAGATTCTTGACTCCAGACTCCAAACTTTTCTTTGACATTCAGATGTATGATGGAAAACAGTCGGTCAACACCTGGCAGCCTGCTAATCTAATAAGGGAGAATAGATTAGATCCAGGATATCTTTGACTTCTAATCCTCTGGGTCTTCTGAACCAGAGAGATTAGAGCTGGAAATAAGATTTTCATTCACACCCTAAAATCCACTGGGAGTTCAACTCCATAACCCTAGCAGAAGCAGCCACTAAGCAAAACAGGCTTGAACACTCGAATGACGACCGATATGTGCTTGACTGTCTGCGTAGCCAGCTGTGATTATGCTGATCTACTTTGTTACTCATCTTTCTCTGTCTCGCCTCATTTCGCATACTTTTTTTTTCTGCTTGTGTGTGTGGTTTTTAAAGGACACACATACAGCTGCAGCCCACAAGCTGCTCCTGCTGCCTACTGTCTAAGTACTCGGTGACAAGCACACACCTGCGTGCATACACAGGCAGAGGCCCTGCATGGTGTGATGCATGCTGTTTGCTGTAATTTCACCCTCTCCGTGGGGTGAGGAATAATTATACCACTCGGTGATTCCACATCTCAGCATCAGACGTTGCCATCCATCCTCTCTGATAAGCACACTAAAGCCATCTCATTCAGCTTTTATTAGTCTCCTTCCCTTATAAAACTACACTTCTCCTAAAAATAAAAAATCTTTTAGACTGGACAGCCAAGGAAGAGGAGAACCAAGGTTTGTTAAGAGGATCAAGACTTTAAAGACTCAAGATTTCCTCATGTTTTTTAAACTTTAGAGAAAAAAGTATAATTATTTGCATATCGAACATTTAATTGCAAATCCTTCCCTGTTTAACTAAACAACAGAACAGAAAAGGATGTCCCTTCCTAAATATTATATTTGCAGTGATCCCAACCAATCTATCCTAGAACAGGTTTAGGTATTTTAGCTCAATTCCGTCCCTTTGCTCCAACTGCCATCATTTTTTCCCCCAGATACTGTAATTGTTGTGCCTTGTATCTGAGAATCCCATAATCAACACCCCACTCCACCTAAATCCTCTCCTTATAGAAAAAAACAAAGAAATCTTACACTGCAAAACACACTTAGACCATTCTATACTGTTTCTGTATGCTACAAGGACAGCGTACACACTTACAATTCCAAAATATGAGGTATTTCCAAAATACTGAAATGACAATTATCTAAATGAAAATGTATTTTTCATGGTCTTGAATTTGGAAAAATGAAATTCAGTTGAAGATATATCTACATTTCTGACAGGTTCAGGGTGAATCTGCAGCAGTGTGTTCCCAGGAAAAGAACCAGAGTCAGCAGCAGGTAGATTATTGACACTAAGCCCTGTAGGATAAACAGCATTCCACCTTCCTTCCACTTCATAAATCCCACTGATTCCTGTTCCACATACAAGTCTCCACCAATACAGCCTCTCTAATTCATTCCAAATATCCCTGCTGGACAGGTCTACCTCAGCTGTAACAACATACAACTTCTTCTGGAGGAGAAAGTGTTGACTTGGCTCATATGCTGCTCCAAAGACGCCAGTGAAAATGTTTAAGGAAATAGCAGGAATTTTCAGACTGGTTGAAACAGCTTTTGTGGACAATCCAACAGGCTTTAGAAAAGGTCAGAAGATATGTCTGCATAGATCACAGTTCTCTTAGGAACATTAAACAATCATAACACATTAGGTCTGTGAAATACTGACATCACCAGAGCACTTTGCATTTTCCTCAAAATTTCAGCAGAATTCCCATAAATTTAAAACTGTAATGTTCTTATTTCACAATGAACAATTCTAAGGTTTGACCCGATGCTCTGAGGTCTAACAAAAAATCAGCACATTCAGTTTATCTCTGTGGGGTATCTTGTTAAATAAGCAATGATTAAAAGAATATTAGAATTTAGAACACAAATATAGTTATCTGGGACAAAACCCAAAAAATCTTTTACAGCACGTTGCAAAAGTGTTTCAGGTTTTTAAAATTTAATCAGGTTACAACAACACTCAACAACAAATGGAGCTAAATCACTGACAACTTGCATGGACAACGTGAGAACTGGCATTGAAATTTCAAATGCTGCAAATTTATAGCCTCGTGAGACCATCCTGATCTCGCGAGCTTTCAAGATTTCACTCGCTAATCAGTCTGGAGACTCTCCGTTGAAGAAAATTTGGAGCCGTTCACCAAACGAACGTCCAATCAGCGTTGGCTTTGAGGTGGGTTGAGGTGTGACGCAAGGAGAAGCGCGACAGTTCAGTCTAAAGAACATGGCGGCTTCAGCCGATGAAACTAGCGTTAGCGTGGCTATCGAGCAAGTTTTATCGGAATTACAGAGTATTTCTTCACTGAAAGAAGAGCAAAACACTGCTCTGGAGGCTTTTCTCAGAGGAAAGGATGTTTTTGCTCTTCTCCCGGTTTCGGCACGAGTAGCCTGGCTTGTGGTTGTGTTTTCGTCGTCGTTAGTACGTCATATGCTTCGTTGATCTGATTGGTTTATTTGGCCCGTCTATCACCAACATAAGCCAATCAGCTAACCAGTATTTTCGCCCCTTCCCAAAATTACTTCAGCGGAAGGTTTCCAGATGGATATGCGGAGCAAATCCATCTGGCGGAGTCAGGTTAGCAAATTCATATCTTGAAAAGTCAATATCTCCTCTGAAAAAGGAAACGGGCTAAACAGAAAGCTCCCTCAGGGTGCTGATTTAGCTCCGCATCTAATGCAATCTCCTGTTCTGAAATGTAGGCCCTCGCTTAACTTAGTAAACTTGCTGAATTGACTCTGTTTTTACACAGCCAAAAGATAATAATAACAAAATGAATCCCCTTACTTGTGGTTGAGCACTTGAACAGGAGCCCTCCATTAGTATAGCACAGGTAGATAACGAGGAGAACCGCAAAAAACGAAGGACCCTGAAGGGACTTTCAGTTTAGCCTCAAGAAACTGCTGCTATTGGTAACATATAATTGAATCAAGTTGGTCCAAATTATTTTATTTAGATTATAACTTGCCAAGGTGAATCAATTAAGTTGAGCTAAGTACATTTAATTACTTCTAACCAATTGAAAATAATTAATTTAAGTTGGAGATTCAGTGTAGTACATTTAATCTGACAGACCAACACCAATTACTGGATTATAACAAAATACATTTTTTTAAGATAACATTGCATTAAGCTCTATCACTAACCAGTTTCCCTTCCATGTCAGCTATAAAGGAAAGTATTTCCAAAGCATGATGCGGCCACTAGCAAACATTTTTTCCTTCTTCATTATATGGATTGAAAAGAGCTTCCTGAGACCATCAAAGCTTACATTATGTTTTTTTTCCTTCCTTTATATTGTTTGAACTATGTTTATTAGGATGACTTTTGTAATTTGTAGTGCTAGTTTAGATATATGAAATAAAAAGGCAAGAAAATACATGCCTGTTAGACTGGAGATAGTTGTAAATGAAATGATCAAAACAGTTTATCCATTTCCTACCCTTCATAATTCTCCACTTCTTTGTTTTTTTTCTCATATAAGTTTATATAAGGACTTTTGCAAGGCACTTATATAGTACTCTTAACTTCTCAGTGTTGTGTTGTATTACCATTGAGCCATTTGGAGTTGTACTGGGCTGTGCGCAGCGGAGGCATGCCGCCAAGACTCCTGTAAATGACCGGGTCGCGTCCTGAGAAGTCAATGACAGTGGCAGCGTAAAGCTCTCCGCTTTCTGTTACCACGGCCGTGGAGTTGTGACGAGGGTCATACGGGCAACGCGCCACGCCGTTCACACGCTCCAGCACTCTGCTGATGTTTCCCACCTTCAAAGAAAAGCAAAGATGAGAAGACAAACATCGAAACCTGAGTAGAAATAGGAGGGAAGAAAAAGTGAAGTCAATGATTTCATATAAATTATTTCCTGACTCTACCTCTCTGGTGATACATAGTGGCTGGAAAGCATTAGTGCCACAGGTCATAACCTCAGTCTTGTTCACCAGCAGGACTCTGATGTAGTTCTGGCATTCCATCTGTAAAATAAAAAGATGAAAATGAAAGCTTGTAAAATGTAACAGCAGGCTAAAATCTGTATTTTGTTTCCTGCATACTGTAGAACAAATTACTAAGGAGAACAATGGAGCAAGTTTTCTGGTGCTAAATTGCCCCGCCGTGTCTGCAGCTTTCACTTGGAGATCTATTGTAGAGAAATATGAACGCCAGTTTGGAAGAAAATGGCAGCTTATTTGTGGCATTGACAAAGGCTTGAAGTCAAATACGTGTTTCTGCACAAAGAATCAAATCTTCTCGAACAAAAGTGTGGCATTGATTTACAGGTCCTTGCTGCTGAGAAGTGAGGTAATTACAGTAAAGAAAATAGTTTTGCGCATTTGACTTCAGTCTTCACCCTGTGGTCTCTGTGGGAGATAAATATGATTTTGCAATCAGTTCCTGCAAATTCATATGAAAGAGACAATTGAACTCAGCAGCTGTTCACAGACATTTCTCCAAAGGATGTCCTTTCTAAGAGTCCCAATAAATCCCCATGGGTGTGTTTATTCCCATTTCCCTCCCCTGCAGCCTGAGCTCTCCCTTATGGAGCAAACAAGAGCAACTTTTGATTGAAGGTTCTGAAATATTGCTCCTGTTCAGAGCTTTCCCGAGAGACTAACAAGCACCGAGGCAGAAGATATCAAAATGGCTTCACTGTGCGCCGATCTGTACTGACTCAAAGTGCTGTAATTGGGGGCGTGATGGAGGTTACCTCTGTTTTGCCTTTGCTCTGACATGACTTCCTGGTTTCTTCGTCCGGTGCCCACTCTGTCGCCTAGGAAACAAACACAAGATGACAAAGTGGTGAAAAAGAGGACGAGAAGCAATGTGCAGACTTGCCTGAGGTACTTTTAAAGTTATACAACAACTGACTTCTGCTCGTTCAAAAGGCATGTTAAAAAGATGCCTGTGAAAAGACTTTAACCCTACTGCTGTTTGTTTATTGTGTACACATTGCGATTGGATTGCCAGCAAAGAGCCCATTGGAGTGAAGAGGGTGAGGCATGCAACGAGGCAGCCGAAGCGCTGAGGACAGCATTAGCATCTAAATGGCTTTCTTCTTTCCAATTCTTCTCTTTCTTGAAAAGTTTGCAACGCTCACCTCCACTGCCCTGTTCCACCAACATCTCCATGAGCCAATTATTTTCCTGTTGATGGTTACAGTAAGTGTTGTGCTTAATTATGGATGCAGGCAGCAGCAGCTGCACTGCAAACATACTAATGTATGTACACAGGATTCTTGGCCACCGGAGCGCCGCTGGATTATGTTCAGTGGGTTGAGAGATGGTCCTAATTTGGCCGGAGCTGTGCATCAGCAGGTGCCAGAGGGCCCTGTGTGTCACTGGCCTCATTTCACCTACTTTTTCCCATTTTCTATCTGTGTTTAAAGTACCACCACAATGATAAGATATGTCCAAAGCCTTAAACGTAATCTATCTTTTATTGTGGCAGCATTCTTTAGAAACAGTAAACCTTAGAAAATCCTCTTGTTAGATTTAGTCAGTGGCACAATTAACCCCCAATTATCCCCACTTAAGGTCCACCGGGTTGCCAGCGACCAGGTGGACCTTAAGTGGGGCTAATGAATCAGAATGCATTAAATTCCACCGCTAAAATTTTTACCAGCAGGTGGAGCCATTGCGCGCAACTCCAAGCTGACATCAAAAGTTCCAAACCCTACAGCTCTGGAACTGTTATAGCTAGAGGTCTGAAATTTTCTGCATGTGTGGTTGACATGATGTAGAACATATATAATACAATAAAACCTGCCTTTTATAAAGAATGTCTGTATTACTGTTGTTCAAAAAAGACCTATCAATTCCGAGAATAAAAAACAACTCTGAGTCATGTTTGAACTAATGCAGGCTGGTCTGTGTTCAACTCACCCAATATTAATTTATATATTAGGAAACTAGAGGTGTTAGCTTTCAAATAATGTATTGCACATGTAATTTGGGTTAACAGTTCCTAAATTGTTTGCTTTTCCATTTGGGTATGCAAAATAGGCGAGGATTACTCAGAATGAGGTGGATGATAAGAGGTTAAAGAGACATTATGTAAGTTTTTACTGAAAAATACCTTTAAAACAGACAATTTATGAATAAAACATAAATTGATGAGCAGACTGACACCTCAATAGTTCCCCACTGATGCTAAGCATGTAGCCTTTCCTTCATTTACTTGGGGTCTGAAGTTTCCGCGCTGTCCGGCCGATGTGACCTTAAGCGCGTCCATGCTGAAGAGGTCCAACCTAGTGTTATATTCAAGGCAGTTTTTTTGGATACTCAGAGGCGACCAGCATCCAGCTCAACCCAGACACCAATTGCAACTCCAAGTAAGGTGAAAAAAAGAAATAACAAACCTTGCGGAGTACGAATGTGAGTTACGAGAATGAAAAGAAGAGTGCTGCAGTTCTGTGTTTTGGCCACAGGTGGCATTATTTTTATAAAACTTCATAATGCCTCTTTAATGTTAAAATTATAATAACCCAGATTTAGACAATTTTTTAAAAATCGTCTTTAATAACATTTCACAAGGTTGGAGTACAGAAATAAAGAGAGAGCGTTTCTTTTTAGATATTTTTCATGATGATTTGGTTACATTTTTCGGAACACTTTGCTGCTGAAAGACCCAAAGACAACCCATAATCAGTTTGGTGGTAGAGTCCATTAGTGTTCTTTTTTTAAATCTTCCGATACTTAATTTACTTCATAAGTTTCCTGAAAAGGTTTTGCTTATAATCATATTCTGTGAATTCTGTGAAAATACCTCAAAAAACAAGTTTGTAAACCTAAAAACATTTATTTAATATTTTTTAAAGTGCTGTGAATAAAAAAATACAAGATAATACGTTTTTCATCTGAAACATAATATATATATATATAAATATATATATATATATATATATATATATATATATATATATATATATATATATATATATATATATATATATATATTTCTGAGCAGCTTTTCCTTAGGTACTGGAGTATTGAATGTTAAGACGTGTTTTGGTGTTGGGCACAATGGGAACAATGGCGCCTAGTCAATATGCTAGATGCAGTTTATAATGGCCCCTTGCCCAGCTTGGGGCCCTAGGCAATTCTTGGTTTGCGTGCCCTGTTGCAACGGGCCTAAGTGGATCCCAAACTTTTCTTACTGGGCCCTCCCTTAGTTCACAAGAAAGTTTTTGTGCTCCCACCCAAATGATCCCCTAACGTCTGATCAAAGTTTGCAACAGTTGAACAAAGAAATGTTAACCACTAGAAATACAGTAGTATATAGTAAAAAAAAATATTAAATGATAAAAAAACACTTTTTAAGGGTAATTGTTTTAACTTTACATAAAAAAATCTATAAATACTTGATTTTACAATATCTGGCATAGACCAAAGCACATGTAAATTATAAGGGCAAAAAAGGTATACATTTCAGATCTGGTTGTTTAAATATATTTCATTTTTAAAGGGTGATATGTTATTAAATCACATGACAAAATCAGGTTTGCTGCTCCTTTAGTTGAATAACAAAAGTTGTATTTTACTGTACTTGGGTGCGTTTTTGGTGCATTAGATTATATTATTGATTTTTTTGAGAAGTCTGTAGGTTTGCTGCACCTAAAGTTTGAAGTGGATTACTGCGAAACTTTGAAAAGTGACTTTTTTATACATGCCGAGTTTGGTTCCTATGCACAAGATTTTTTGTTCAAAGGCATGGTTGACACATGAGGCCTCTGGTCGTCCCAACATATTATCCTTTGCTGCATTCCTCCAAAAGTGAGATTTGTTACTTTCTTATCCTCTAATTACTTTGTTTATGGTACATTTTGCCAAGGTTAACTCAGGTCCTCATTCAGGTGTGTGGTGAGCAGCTAAAAGAACTGCTCATCAGGGTCCAGGCATATTTAAACTGCAGGGAAATAGCCTGTTAAGGATCACTGACAACAAACTTCCAAACAATTTGATAAACTTTAAAAAAAGGCTTAATTAAAATGCTTAAAATACAGTTATTTAAAAGACTATGTTATGCATAAGAATGATAAAAAAAACATGATTTTGGTAAAAACTTTTATGTTTTTTTAATAGAATTAGTTAGTGAATTAATTAGTGATATTTTGGGGGATTTTAATGGTTTTTGCACTTCTTAAAATTGTCCCTCACTACGTCTCGCCTAAAAAGACGACTCTCATGAATGGTCACTCACTTTTTACATTTTATAAATGACCTTCAAAAGACAAAATGCAATGGCGATTTAAAGGTAATGGTAAATATTAAGCCTAGAACAAAAATATTTGAGTAACAGCATAAATAAATGAACCGCAGTCACAGTGGAGCTCATCTCTAACACCTACTTTATGCGCAGCCTTGGGCAATTTAGCTTTTCTTAATGCCTTGAATGGATATCACTCTCACTCTTTTTCTTAAGTTTTAATTAAAGCTTAGCAGAAGAGCCTAAATCTGTACAGAATAAAGTAAGGAGCTCTGATCATAAGGTTCTAGTTAAAATTTAAATAGAAATAATTGTACTTTGAGCAAAGCAGAATCTTCCTGGGGATAAAATGTTCAGTTTTTAATTTACTGAGCCCAAAACAGCTCACTGTGGTCCGTTTTTTCCCCAACACAGTTCATGGGATTTATCTACTTTCCTCAAAAGAATAGAAGAACATATTTTAAGGTGTTTAGCATCTGCATAAATTCTTACTAATGAGTAAAAATAGCAGCCTGGACACCACAGATCCCAAGTTTATGAGCTGTAGGAATATCATGATGAGCTTAGAATAATCTTAAATTTTAGTATTTTTTCAGCCATATATTTCGTCACGGCAGTTGATTTTATTTTCTCAAGATGAGAAGATAGCAATTAAATATTGTAAGGGGAAATCTGGATGGTGCTAGATGCATATTAAAGAGCTGCCAGGAAGCAGAGCAGCTTGGTTGTTTTTTTTTTTTCTTACTACCAGTTCTGAGAATTAAAGTGAAGAAAACAGATTGTTTGAAACAGAAACTTAAAACACCTGCTGTAATGCAATAAAGAAAATTACTATTTTTGTTTTAATCTGTGGTAAACTTTATTGTAATTTGAACATAACTTCATGCAATCCTGCTTTGCTTAAACTTAGGCTTATCCAGTATCACCCTTTTTCTTAACTTGCATCAAACATTGGCATTGGTTTTTTAAAATCTTTTCTAAACCTGAAGAAAGGAAGGCCATTTTGTGAATTAGAGGCAAAGCAGAAACTAGACAGGAAAAGGTTTAGTAGGGCATAAGTAAATTAGGCTAAAAGAAGAATTTAAACTTTTGTCACCATCTGAAAAGGTTCAGTAGGTTACAGCTGCGATTGAGACAAATCCATTAGCATTATGAAGTTATGTCAGGCTCTTGCTGCTATTAGAAGAGTGGGCTGTGACCCATACTGATAGTTAAAGCTCAATTCTCTGTAACCCTCAGCAGGTCCCTTCAATTAACCTTTTTTTAGGCTGCACTGAAAGAGGAGACTGACCGTGTAAAATGGACTCCAGGTAAAAATGAAACATGGTCTCAGTAAACTTATGAAGAGAAGTATCTCATGGAGTCTGCAGGAGCTCAATGTTCTTTTCACATTACTGCAGCAGCCAAACAGTGCGCAGACCACCAACAACCTATAATCCAGTTCCCCTGAGTGCAGCGAGCTGCGTGGCACCTGCCAGTCAGAAAGCAGCTCCGCCCCTCCTCAGCAGCAGTACATCAATCTGCTGGCTGAAATGAAAACACTGCTCCTCCACAACCTCCGCCTGT